ATTTTTGGGAACAATGTTTTGCTGGAGCTGAACTATTAATAAACCAGTTTATTCCAGTCACTGCGTGGTCCAGTAAGTCTGCCATTGGGGTTGATGGATGAGGCAGAGAAGATAAGAGACAAGAGACAAGTGGTGTAGCTGACAGAAGGAGAGCATTGCGCAAATCTCCAGAGAGTGCTTCTCATTCCTCAATTGTAAGATGCAATTCGTGAGATACCTGACACAGCAGGATTTTCAGAAAAGGGCAGGGAGCATTGCACTTAGTTATCAAGCTCACCATGGCCCTTAATTTTTACGTAACAGGGTCATTCCACGCTGCAAACAAACATATAAAATAGAAGCAGATGTAGACCAGTTGCAACTGGTGACTTGAGGGGCACACTGCAGTTTGCGACACATAACAATATCAGGAAGGGAACCAAGGCTTAACATATCAGGCAGAATACAATCATCCCACTCCCCTCTAGAAGAAATGTGAAATAGAATGACACAGGCTTTATCTGAACCACAGACTTTCCCCGGGCCCGAGGTTCCAAAAGTTCTCTTGCCGCTTGTACCAGCCTGAATTCTAGGTCAATAGAAAGGGATACCACTCTGCATGTTTGCAGCCATAAGCTAACATTTCTTACAGGTGTACCATAGCCTTGGCATTCCTTGTCCCTGATCCAGACCAGGAAATGGGTAGAATTCAAAAATATAAACTCAACAGCAAGTAACAAATTCCAGCTCCATTCACATTGGTTGAAACTGAAACACAGCCCTGAATGATATTCAGACTCTCCCAGCTATCGGTTTGACTGTTAATCAGGAGTATCAGGCAACAGTGGAACATTATATTGTGAAGAGAAATGTAGCATAATAAAATGGACAAATCTCATCCTTCTGGAGCAAACTTTGAGGTCAAAGGCCAGCATTGCAAATTGCCTCAGACAAATCTACAGTTCAGATAATTCTGTTTTCATGCTACAGGACGAAGTATGTAGTGACTGAGAACTGAATGCTGTATAAGAAGAAAACAGCATTGTCAATACCTCAACAATATAGAGTTGTAAAGTACCTTTAATGTAGTCAAAGATCTACATCTGCTTCATTGAAGCATTATAAGATATGATACAACATTACCATGTAAATGGATATTAGATTTGAGATGACCAAAAACGTGGTCAAAGAGGTAGGTTTTAAAGAATGTTTTAAAGGAAGAAGAGGTGGAAAGGGAAGAGGTATATAGAGGACAATTGAGGTGCAGCTATCAATGGAAGTGCAATAATAATTCTAAATGCTCACTTTAAAAGCAGAGGAGGGCAGATGTCTGACAGGGTCATGGAACTGGTGAAAGTAACAGAGATGGGGAATGGTGAGGAATGATCCGAAAATATGGGTGAAGATTTTGAAAATGACTTTGCATAACTGGGATTGACCAGTGAAGGTCAGGAAATTGAAGGTGGTAGGTCCATTGGATTTGGAGCAAGGCAAGGCATGTGTTTAGATTGACCTCAAGTCTGCAGAATTGGCACCAAACAGGAGTCTATATAGAAATAATTAAGTCTAGAGGTAACAAAAACTTTATCAACAGATCACGTGAGACAGGGTGAAGTTGCATGATATTACGAAGATAGAAATATGCAATCTTATGGAAGGTGCAAACGTGTGGGGTCAATTACAGCCTCAGAATTGTGAGCACGTTGCTTTAACTGACTGCTGCCAGGGAGACGGATGGAGTACATAACAAGGGAGTAGAGATTAGTGTGGGTACCAAAAACAATAGTTTCAGTATTTCTGATAATAATTGCTGTAAATTTATGATCAGCCAATACTAGATGTCAGATTAACATTTTGCAAATTTATCTGACAGCGGAAGAGTCAAAGAGAGCAATGGGGAGGTAAAGCTGGGTGTAGTCAGTTATCCTGCGAAACTAACAGTACTTTCAAATTAAGTCACTGAGTGGCTGATTGTAGATGAGAAGTAGGAGGAGCCTGGGATAGATCTTTGTAGATACCAGCGTTAATAGTGATAGAAGTGGAACAGGAGTCATTAAAACACACATTGAACAGGGAATTCAGAAGCTCCGTTATGTTTTCTTACAAATAATGTTTCAAAGTCTTATAGAATCAAAACAAGTTAGTCACTATGAGAATCTATGATTTAAAAACAATCAAGTACAGCAAGGTCAGATCAAAGTAATTCACAAATCAGCCATGGTCAAAACTGATCTATTTTTAGAATCAGCTGTATTTGTTCATTAATTGGTTGTTTTGGTTATTTTAGATGGAATCGTCAGCATTTCAACAGTCAGCACTAATGATTACAGCAACCATTTCGAGTGCTGATGCTGCCACAGCTTGAAGTCAGCTATGGATAATTTTTTTTTCAAAGGTCTTACAGTGCTGAATAGCATCTCTCCTCTTGACATAGTGCTGTTGCAGCACTGTAGAAAATGTCTCTTTCAGTATGAAAATGATTTTTATGTGTGTAAGTATTTATTGAAATTGTTATCCCTTGAGCTCTAAAGAGAATCTTTTTATGATAGAAACAAATTTCTATCCAATTATGTGCCCTTCCACAATTATTGAAATATATAATGTACCATTACACCTGGGGCTGATGTAGACTGCAATCTGACAATCTCCTTCAACAGTGCAACAATGGTCTATACCATTGTTGCATTTGGGGATTGAGACTAATTGGCATTCTCAGAGATTGTAGGAGTGTTTTCAGTATTTGTAGCTTTCTTAAATTTAGGGAAGTGTGCCATTTTCTTTTTAAATACCAGATTCTTTTTTAAAAAGTCAATCTTTTTACAAAAGGACAAACAACTACAGTACATACAAGTAGACCATAGGTCCACTGAACTTGGCAAAACTGGTTTGATTATTTAAGCAGGATGGAATTTACAAGGTTCTTTGTTTAAACCAATTTTTAATAATCTATTAGGCCACTTTGATTGAAAGTAAATTCATTCTGAAAATGAGTAGTTTGCTGAAAGATTATTGTCATAAAATTATTTATGAATGAAATATGTTCTGTGTTGTCTCCTATTAATTCCAAATTGGATCCTCATAACAGAAAACACATATCCAGAGAAGGCCACTGATATTGCTCCCTAAGTGTCACTTTATCTTCCTTTTGAGCTCAAAGGATGACATTTAAATGATTTTATATGATGTTCTGAGTGAAGTAAGAAATCTGGATTAATTTTGATTGGACAATGCGGTTATATATTGATGATAATGGTTTGACCGCATGTCATTTCCTCACTTACCACTATAGATATTCGTACACGTTTCGACTTTCTGAATTCTGACAATGCCTGATTCTTTGATAGAAACATAGGATAATGTAGGTTATACATCTCATTTGGCATCATCCAGGTAGAAGCCCTACATCCGGCTAAAAGTTGCTGAACATTAGTCAGTCAAAGATGTTTTCTTTCTTATCAGTTGAATTTTGCAAAGGCCCATTTTGCCTTAACCCTTAGTCTATTTTTTAAAAAAGAATGTCCATCAGAAAGCTGTGTTTTGTTTAACATCTCACGTCACTGGAAGTTATGTCTGAATAAGACAGCAGACCACAACAGGATCTTTTAGCCTTTCTACCACAATTTATGTAAGATGACAGATATGATACAAATATAGCAGCACAGAATGTATATTACATAATATAAACACAGCACATCACATGAGGAGTGAAGTTAGCTTTTAACTTGTCATCAAGAACTGCAGTCACAGAATAGAAAGCAGCATGACTTTTGATAAAGTCAGCACATTAATTCACAGTATTTTCAGCACTTCCTAAGCCTTCAAATTAGGGGAAAATTTAAAGCAAAGTCCAATGAATTTGAAGTGGCACCTATTCATTAGAAATTTGTTAAACAGTGATCTCAACAAATCAACCTTTTGATAGTAGCCTTCCAACTCTGATAACTTGTATTGTTTTACGTGTGGATAACTAAAATAAGTGACTGTTTAATTCATGAGGTATAACTCCAAAATGGAGTAATTAGAATAGAAATTGGTTCTCTTTACTGTCGGTGTTTTAGGCCCAGACAAATTATTATCATTATCTCACATTGAAGAGTCACCATTGGTTTTTCAAAACTAGTATGACCCAGAGAACGAAAGAATTAAACCCATCTGGATGGCTTCTTTTCCATCTCCTATAGAATAAATTATATCACTACTTTTCAGTTTGATGAGGAAATTATTCACAAAAGCTTCACAAGGTATTATGCACTACTGTGCAACTATATGACATAGCTTTCAACACCAGCAACACGACACCCATTAAAGCACCATGATTCATTGGCATGGTAGATAAACTAGCATATCTTGAATGTTAAATATTTTAAAATATAAATTTGATAAATGGAGTTAGGAGAGTTCTTATATGCTATAATCCATTAATTATCCACAAGTTATTTCATAACTCCTGTATATCAAAGAGAAACTAACTACTGGCTAAATGTTCTTGGCATCTTACTTTTCATTTTAAGTCTGTTATGTTCAGAAATATACTAGAGAAGGTGCAGTAACATTGTGCTGTAGTTTTATTGAGAATTAATCAAGCATACTTCATTGTTTGCTGGAGTTATGTCGATGTTGATCTATAAACTGCAATTAACATTTATTATATTTGAGCACATATTCAAATTATCAAACAAGCTAGAGGACTTGATTATGAACCAGAAAAGGTGATAGCAGAAATCCCTTCATGTATTACCAAATCCTGTTAAATAGGAGGGAAAGCACTCGTAAAACTTCTGGTGAAGCTTACAAGAAGAAATAAGGCACAAGGATTTGCTCAATGGTCATTTTCTGGAAACTGTTTTCTTTGCTGGAGGGAAAAATGTAATCCTTTCCAAAAAAGATTGACAGATGCAGCCGACTCTTTGACACCTGCAGATGTACTATCTGAAATCTCACAAAGAGGTATATGTGCTTTGAACAGTTAGCACAACTAACAGAATTTAATATGGAACACACTTGATGATGGAGACACCTACCTCTCCTGGTTCATCCATTGGGTTCACACAGAACAGGCTTTTCAGTGCAATTCCTGTTTGATCCAGGGGACCTGAAGAAAATAAATTCACATTTATTAAAAATTTCCCTATGACAAATGAAATGACCTCTTTAAAAAAGAACTGCACCTGTCTATATTGGCATGGGAAGCCAGCAAGTAAATCAATCCCTCTGTCTTAAATGATTCACTCATCTCCACCAGGCTGGCATCAGGATTAAAATTCCTCCAACCTCACATGTTTAACAAGAATTCATTTCACACAGAGTGAGTAAATTCATGTACTGCTAGTCCATACAATGGCAACAGAGTTTCATTATTAGATTAAAGGTTAGGTTGAAACAAAACAGGAAATGTAATTGTCTTGTATTTTATAGTTGAAACATCAGGCTTCAATGAACTCTGCACTGATATTACTTAACATAATATTCACTGTGTGTTACAGATAGCTTTAGTTTAAAATTAAGGTCGAAGTCGATGAAATGAACTCATCAGAATTAAAACTGAGGGTATATGCTCTTAAACAATGTTTGAAAGTAACTACCTCAGAAAGCCACAATGATGGATGGCAACCATAAGCAAGTTAAACAGGGCCATTTCCTACAGAACAATTAAAGGTGTGAGTCAGTGTTCTCAGCAGCATCTCCTACACTGATTTGATAACTCATTCAGACATTTAATTTTTTCTTTTCAAGGTAAATCTCTGCCTGGGAAGTCCGAGACGTTTATATGACAAAATATTATACTTATTTCAAAAGAAACCTTTCAAAATCATTGTGCAAATATATTTTTACACAATAAATCATTTTGGCATTTTCCAAAATAATATTTAATATTTTCCTTTTAATGCAATCTTTGTTTGAGACGTTTACCTCCAAATCAGAATATTTAACCTGTGGGGGAAACATCAGGAAGGCCAAATGATGTTGCAAAAACATCACACGAACATTTGTAAATGTAATTTAGTTCAGGGAGGTGTTGATTTGATTACATACATTGGATGGCATTGAGCAAAGCTACTAAGCATTGGTAGAGTATTTTACATCTGTTTTCATTTGACAATGGTATGCTGCAAATGTAACAGGAAATAAGGAGGCAGTAGCATTCTTGGATGGAATAGAAATAGATAAAGAAGTAGTTGAGAGGTTGGTAGTCTTCAGGATAGAGAAGTTATCCATTCTGTCTGGGTTGCACACGACATTACTAAGAAAAGCAAAAATGATGTTGTGGAATCTCTGAATATAATCTGACAAACGTCCTTGGAAAATGGGAGATACCAGAGGATTGCAAATGTTTAGCTCAGCAACTAAGGGCCATCTAGCCTAACATTAGCGGTTGGGACAATTTTAGGGGCAATATCAATGACCAAATTAATTGACATTTGGAGATGTATAACTCAATAAATGAAAGCCAACACAGATTTGTTAAAGAATGGTTCAGCAAAAGTCGGGGCTAATGTGATTCAAGTTTGTGAAATTAATTTTCAAAAAACATTTGATAAAGTATCAGATCATGGTCTTATTAGGAAAATTAAAGCCCAGAGAATTAAAGGGACAGTGGCAACATCAATACAAAATTTGTTAAGAATCAGAAAACAGTAGTGGCAATAATATTTTTTAGATTGGGTAGATAATAGGACCTCTTCTTATTGATATGTATGAAGGGCCTAGGTAAAGAGGATTCAACTTCCAAAATTTACATAAAACTCAAAGGCATAAAAGATAGTGAAGAGGATGTCGCAAACTTTAAAAAGGCATGGCTTGGATTTTCATCTGCAAGTTGGGTGCACAAAGTCAGAAAAAAATCCCAGCTTTGCATACACAACTTTTAAAAATGGTTGATTTCTGTCACCGGGGTGGTCTGGAATAGAAATAGTGAAGAAGGTGCCAGGTGTGGAGATGGACTGGATGGAAGACCTACCTCAGTATTCAGCACTGTGTCTAAAGTTTTTAAAAAAAAATGAAAAGTTCCTCTGGTGCTCACACCAACACACTGCCAATTATATTAGCATGTGTGTGTGTGTGTGTGTGTGTGTGTGTGTGTGTGTGTGTGTGTGTGTGTGTGTGTGTGTGTGTGTGTGTGTGTGTGTGTGTGTTGTGAGGGGCGGTGGATGGCAAGAGAAATGTAGTTTGCTCTGCTTCCCATTATGTTGGATCCATTCAT